GCGGAAGGAGAGCCCGCCCCTTCCCCGCCCCCAGCCCCGGCTTTGTTCAGGCCTTCCAACCCCCCCCTCCCCGCCCCCCGCGCTTCGGGCCCCCGGCGCCTGCCGTGACGCCGCCCAGGACCGTGACGCGGCGGCGGGTGGCGGCGTCTGGGAAAGAGGAGCCGCTGGTCTGCTCGTCGCTGCTGCAGGAGAAGGCGAACCAGTGCCCGCCGAGGAACACACCGTGCCTGCGAGGGGCTGAGCCAGGCCGGCGGCCTGCGGCCCATCAGGCAGACAAGCCGCTGCCCGCGCTGAAGCTGGCGCTAGAGCACATCGTGCGCTGCATCGACAAGCACGGCATCTGCGTGTGGACGAACTCCTGTGCGCGGAGCCCGGGCGGCAGATCGGCCTTCGTGGTGGACGAATTCCTGTGCGCGGAGCTGGGGCCGCAGATCGGCGAGGAGGTGCGCGCCCTGCTCGACACTGGCAAGTTCACGGACAGCCAGCTGGTCAGCCAGAAGAGCGACTTTTCCAAGTACATCCGAGGCGATCAGATCCCATGGATCGAGCGAGGGCAAGGAGCCCGGCTGGGAGACCATTGGGCTGCTCATGAGCCGCAGGGACGACCTGATCCGTGTTCGTCTGCGTATTAAGTGAGGTGAATTTTCAGCCTCCGGATAGCATCACTGAGATCTCATCTTTTATTGGCCCTAAAAGACTAAGTATTTCTATAAATTAAGCACAACTGCGTGGTCTGGACAAAATATTTAATATTAAAAAAGGTTGACATTTGATTCAGGACTCATGTCCACAGTCGGCGCCCTCCTGCCACCCTCTCAGGGCTCCTAAAGGTCCAGGACTGTCGCCCAGCAGTCAGCAGCCCAGCGGCTCAAAGAGGAGAGAGCACGAAGGATGCACTGCAGGCAGCCCGAGCAAAGCAGGTGCAGGCGCCACCCGGTGGGGCCCGGAGCTGGGCTGCACCCTGAAGGCTGCACGTGGTCCCAGGCCTCCGTGTCCACTGGTCCCTCTCCAGCATGGGCGTTGGGCCGCAGGACAACGGGAAGCTGCCCGAACGTGTGCTCTGTGGGCTCAGGCGCTCCTGCGGGTACTCCTGGCATCGGCACGAATCCTGGCAAGAGGCCAGCACCGGGCTGCACTGGGCTCTCTTCCGAGGAGCTCTGGGCCTCAGCTAAGAGTGCTCGGTATCGCAGGAGGACCGAGGGCAGCTGCCAACAAGGACTGGAGAGCAGTGGCGGGTGGTCATCGCCGTGGTGGCTTGAGGACTGTGCCAGCGGCACGAGGACAGGAGGTAGCTGGTCTGGGGAGATCGGGGTCCACGGAGGATGGCGCTCTGGAGCCGGGTCTGCAGAATCCCAAGCCTGCCGCAGCGCGTCGTGGTCCAGGAGAAAGTGCGGCTCCATCGCAGAGATCTTGGGGCAGGAGGACATGAGCCTGGAGCTGATGCAGAGGCCCAGCCTTGGGTGCTGCCTGCAGCCTGGATA